CAGGACACGGGCCCCAGGGCCGGCGAGTCGCCCCAGGACACTGGCCCCAAGGCCGGCGAGTCGCCCCAGGACAGAGGCCCTGCTGTAGGTGAGCCGCCTCAAAATTTCATCCCCAGTGTGGGAGAGCTACTTAGAGGCTCCAAGGTGAGTGAGTCTCCTCAGGACATAAGCTTCATGGCAGATGTACTTCTCAAGGGCCAAGGCTCTGCCATGGGCGAGCCACTAAAGGATAAACCTCCTTCAGGAGGAGTAGCTGATGCCTTCCCCGCCAGCTCTCCTGTAAGAGGATCACCTCCTGGGGCCAAGCAACTGTCACAGCCTGTTGTTGCTGTGGCTGAAGGCGGGAAGCCTACCAACAGGAAACAAACGCCAGAGCCTGGGCCTTTGAGATCCATTGCAGGTGGGGTGGAAGTTACATCTCGGGAGCCCGAGGAAGCACCTGCGGAGCTGGCTTCACCCTCCATCACCACTGGCTGGCCGGGCTCACAGGGACACGACTGCGAGACGTATGAAAAAACCTCTGTGGCTTCTAAAATTAAGCTGTTTGAACAAGGTTATGCTTGTGGCTCACTCTCTGATAAGCAAAAAAGAGCAGCCCAAGAGCGGCCACGAGAAAGTGAAACCAAGAGACCATCTAAACAAACAGAGGTAGAACCGCCGCAGGCCACGGGCCTCGCTACGTCTCCCACACCCTTGGGTGCCTCAAATGACAGAGCCAGGCATGCTGGGGGAGTGCCTGGTGGGGAATACCAGACAGGCACAAGAGCGCCTTCCCAGCCTCCATCGTCGAAGGAAGGCGTTTCCACCGATTCAAAGCGCAGAGGAGATGATGACAGCAGACTTGCTTCCCCTGACTCGGGCTGTGAAATCACTCTGAGAGAAGCTGTGGTAACTCCTCCCATGAACTGTCCCAACGGAAAGTTCATAAGCATGTTGCGTGGCTCTTTTTTTTATGATCATGTTCAATGGCACCTCACACATCCATTGACTGAGAACAGCCGCTTTGCATTCCCTGTCCTTTATGTATGTGTCTGTGGCCTGACTCCTAAGCTGAATGCAGACCCGCTGGCCACCAGAATGCCAGCTGCTAATGTTAAACTGGGCACATGAGCTTCATGCCCAGGAGCAAGAACGGGGCCTGGGGTGCCGATCAGAGAGCTTTTATATCCCCCCACACACACCTAGCAGCAAAATTCCCATGCTTCCAGCTCGCCCCTTGCACTTCTTAAATTGTTGTCCCCTCTTGCTCGGCTTTTGAGTCCCTCCCACCTCCCTCCCAACTTTGGCAAGCTGGTGGCTGGAGGGTGAAATAGCTTTCTGCTGCTCTTCTAAGGTACTAGCTCAGTTCCTTTTGGAGTTCGTTGCCAAAGACTAACCCTTTTCTCTAATCCAGAGCAAATCTCAAGAACCAATTGGGAAAGAAAAGGATTTATCTGGCCCATCAGTTAAAGCCACCCTGAAAGAAGAGAGTTTAAGGACTGGTATTCCAGTGGTCTCCCAGGTCTCACTGCTATTTTACTAACTGCTTCTTTCCAAAGTATGAAAGCTCACCTTAACCAGCTGAGGACTGTATGCTTTTGACTCCTTCCCCCTTGCAGAGCTGCTATACATACGTATATCTATATATGTATATGTATATGCTCCTCTTGAGTTTGTTGGAGACCCCCGTGTCTCATACCTCTCAACCCACGAGTCATCTGGATAAAAAGCAGCCGAGATGGAACGTTCCAACCAAAGTGGGGGGTATTGCTGACTTTGTGAGGGGCTGACCCTGAGCACAGTGAGGTCACTGGACGGCTTTCCACTGACATCAGTGGGCTTTGGTACAGCCTGTATAGAGGAATGAAACTGTTCCTTGAGCAAAAAGCAAATCTTAAACCAAAAATAACATTTAATTCCAGATTTCTGAGCAGTACCCAGGTGGCAAGCAAGGTGGGATGAAATTTATTCTGTGCTGGGCCAGTTGAGAGGTATGCACATTGTTCGAGAGGAGCCGGCAGAGGAAGGCTATCTCTTTGCTCTGAGTTTGTTGTCAATTACACTGATTAACCACTCAGCCGATTAAACCCAAATGGGCCCGCTCCTGATGTGCAGCAAACTTTAGGGAAGCATTACGGTGTCTGGGCTGGTTTTCACACAAGCACTCTGTTCAGCTCCCAGCAGGAACCCCTGCAGGGTGGGGCCCTGTCCCATCACATTCATGGGACTTCTGTGTGTAAACACTGACTGTTCCTCCCATATATATGATTAAAACGAGCACATAAAAACCTCCAGTGACGCCCCAGCACAGTGAGTGTAAAACTCTTATGGGGTGAGCTCAGTGAAATTGACAAGCTCCTTTGCTTCTCCTTGAATACATGCAACTGATGGAGCTTTTTTCTTTTCTTTCATTCAAACTCTTGTCCTCTCCCCTTTTACCTTCCTTGTTTGTTTTGGTGCCAAACTTACACACGATTGCAGTCTGAGCTGTTTATAAATGTCTCTTAACACACCTGTTGTTTTGCACATGTCTTCTGTCAGGCTCAGTGACATGCCTGAGAATTTCTTTTGGACAGTTTTTCTTTATTATGATTATGATGATGATTATTATTATTATTTCTTTTCTAATTCCTCTCTACAAATCAGACCAAATCAATTCCCCCTGCAAAGTTGCTGCTGTCAAAAAGGTTTCTGTTTTCATGCTTGAGTTGTGTTTGAATCCCCTACTGTGACATTTCCCCAGCTGCCTCCTCCCTCTCCCCCTGTTGGCCTAGCCAGCTCTAGCCATTCCTTCGGTACCTACAGTCTGAGTCTCTCTCCGCCATTGTGTCTCATTCAGAGAGCGGGAGCGAGGGAGGGCACAGAGGAGAAAGTGAAGCCACCTCGACACAGGGGCCCTGAGAGCGACACTGGGGATGAGGAGCAAGACCAGGAGAAGGATTCTGTCTTTCTGAAGGACAACCACCTGGCCATCGAACGAAAGTGTTCGAGCATCACAGTCAGCTCGACCTCCAGCCTGGAAGCTGAAGTGGACTTTACTGTTATCGGCGACTTCCATGGCACAGCCTTTGAAGACTTCTCCAGAAGTCTGCCTGAGCTTGATAGAGACAGGAGTGAGATGGAAGCAGAAGGTGTGATTTCTTCCCACGATGCTGACAAAGTAGCTCCTGGCCAAGAAGAAGATGTCAAGGAAGAAGATCAGGCCTCCCACCATATCCCAGACGTATCCCACTTTGAGGTACAATGGGGAGCCATGCCGCAAGACTTATGTCGCGGTGTCCTCATCTCACAGTGTTATCTGTCTTGGCATCTGGTGTTGCTTGACCAGCATGCCCCTTGCATCTGTTTGGAAGAGCATGCCAGCTTTCAGAACCCAGAGAGCCTCTGGAGTGTCTTTGTTGTCCTCTAATGAATGTTCTCTCTGTTTTGCATGGCTGTTACTGACTCCTCCGGTGCACGATTGTACTGTTAAGTGTGTCTGTGTGTCTTTTAACTGAAAAAGCCGTCGTCATCTTAACTCACTGTGTTTGGCTGGAGAGCCCTGTGCCTGTACTGTAGCAGCATGCGTGTGTCTCTTAACCCAAGTCTCTGTTCTGGTGTGTTGCATGAAATAGCGTGCACGCTGAAGTCACGTCTTGCCGGTTAACCTATGGTCCTACTGGGGAAGGAATAACTTACATAAGGGCTGGTGGGACGTGATAGAAAGGTCTTGCGAGGGGGATAATCAGGTAAACAAACTGCACATGGACTTGCTAGAGAGACTACCAGTGTCCACGTGCCAGAGAGCAGGGCAGGCCTGGACCCCAGTGAATGAAGCTCTTTCCTCTCTGCAATTCTGAAACTGCGTCCAAGGCCTCAGTTCCTCACCATGGATTGTGTCTTCTGGCCGCCAGTGTTCCTGGGTCTCTCCTGCCGCTGGCAGAGGAACCCAGCCTCGGTGGAGAGCGTACGCGGCACCGCGATCCAGAGAACTGAGGATCAGGGAGGGCTGCCCCTCGGCAGTGTCCTGTTCTGCCAGAATAGCACCTGGTAGAGTTGCTGGTGTCCGACCCTTGGGCCCAGGTGCCAGTTTGGTGTGTTACTGACATGTGGCCCCTCATCAAGCGCTTCCCCACAAGGCGATTCGCACCAGGCCCCTGCAGAGCCAAATGTTAGGACCAAACCCATGCAGGATAAGACCAAGACGTGAAGCCAGCATCCCTGAAGGCATCCACAGGGTGTTGGAGCTGAAAGCTGTGTTCAGAGCGTATCCTCCAACCACGGGAGCCAGGGGAAGAACTGGGCCTCCAATTCACTCCAGTCCCACGCTGGCAGAGGTGGGGAAGTGGCTGCAACCTTCCCTCTGCCACACTGGCCTGCAGAGACCTGCACAGCCCAGAAAGTGAGGGAAGGGGCATGGCCAGCGCACCTGGGTGAAAGCTGCATCAGTGTGTCCCCTGGGCAGCCTTCACCAGCAGGGTTCCAACCACATGGACAGGTGCTACTCACACCACCTCTGTGTGTGCACATCCTCCTCTGCCCTGCATCCCTGAGGGTCAGCCTGGCTCCAGGGATGTAGCTGTGCCTCTCCACACACCCACAGGGGTAAATCTAACCCAGCGTTACAAATCTTCCCTTAGGCCACCAGTGAAACGAGCTTGGTGGGTCTCATGCCTGTCTCAAGTGGCCATTTGTTACAAACCAGGGCACTTGGAAGCCTTCTCAGGAGAAGACCGGCTGAAGGCACATGAAGCTCTGGCTCGGGGTGCACCGGCTAGTTGTGTAGAAGCCTGCAGTGATTGGGTGCACTATGGGTGATACTGGTCCATGCTGTGTGTCTCTCAGGGTAAAGAGGCCTGTAGTGATCCAAGACAGGGACCTTGTAAATGCATCGCAGGCCTCCTGGCACCCATAGCTCTTCCCAGCATGCGTTGCCGGGTGCATGAACTGCGGGAGGAAGATACTAAGATGTGCAGTTCAGGGAAAGGGGAGCAATTCAGCACATACTAAGATGCTGTTGCGTTTTAACCAAGCCCCAGGAGCCAACACAGTTTCACGCAGTCTGTGGCTGACTTGCTGTGTTCCCTCTGCAGTCATCCGTTGTGAAAACAGAGACTGTGACTGTCAGCGCCGTTGCTGGCACGAAGAAGGCGGAACCAGAGGTCTCTGTGCACCAGAGGGTCACCACAATGGAAACAACACAGGTGATTTGCCCCTTTGCACTTGCTGAAGTGCACAACACAGCCAATCACAAAGTGCACGAGGCAGCAGCTTTGCACCAACGTGCTTTCTACAGAGCCTCAGTCTGGAGTTAGCAAAATCCACAGACAAAAGCAAATCATGCGGGTTCTTTCTGCCCAGGCCACACCAATGGAATGCATTTCTGGGGCCTGAGCTACACCTTAAAGCCTAGCCCCATTGTCCACACCCCGTGGGATGTTTGTTAGGCCAACCTAACCGCTCGTACACGTAGGGCTAGGTTGACCTTGGTGCCACCACTCGGAGAGGTAGATTTCCTACCTTATGGAAAACCTCGTCTGTTGGTGTAGCGTCAGTGCCACAATGGCCCAGCTACAGCACCGCAGCTTAGCCGCTGTAGTGGAGACATACCCTTAGATCAGGTGAGGATTTTAAAATGTGCTGGTCAGTTTGGTGAGGCTTCTTTTTAATCCTGTAAAATGCTAGGCTGCCTCAGACCGGATCAGAGCATGGCAAATTACAGCCTGTGGGCACATCTGGCCATTGGACCCTTCAGGCCGCGAAGCGGGGTTGGGACAGACTTGGGAAGCAGCGGTGGCCGGTGATCCGGCTGTCCAGGGAGGATAGCCCCTGGCCCTTCCCCTTCTGCCCTCCCTCGCAGCCTCACCCCAGTGCCTGGGTGGCGTAGTCGCAACCCCGTCAGCCTGGTGCTCTGGGAAACACGGACAGAGGGTGCGGAGCTCTTCAGGGGCTTATAGGCAAACCTTATCCAGGCTTATCCTTACTGCTTGGCTGCTTCCCCAGTACTGCCCCAGTAGAGCTCCCATTAGTCTCCCTCCCCCCACCTCAGTAACTCCCTTGTAGAACCCCCCGCCCCCCATGCAACAACCCAAAGAGCCCCCTCCCCCACCTTGGTAACAGCCGCATCCATACAATTTCCGTACCCAGGCCAAAAGGTTTGCCCACCCCTAGACTAGATGGCACAAAGACTCATGAGCTCTCTCCTTCTCTAGAGACATGAAATCAAGGCCCCATCCCCCTCCTGGAGGTTAAAGTACCCATTGCACACCCCCTCGCTCTCCACCGCACATGCCCCGCAAACTCAGGATTTGCATCCTCTCCTGAGCAGGTGTGCAGCATTGCTGTGCATTGCTCTCTGGCTGTGCTTGGGTGGGGGCAGATAGTAGCAGCCTGTGGTTTGCATTCCTGTTCATTAAATACATGGCTCCAGGCTAGTTACTGCCCGTCTGCAGCTTCAAGGCAGTTCTGCGGTTTCCCTACCCCCAGTGCATCAGCAGCAGACCAAGCGCTCCTTCCTAGCTGGCTCGCTCCCCGGCTGCATCCTCGCACACTCACCTGGTCTCCCCTTCCCTTCGCAGGTCGACAGAGGCATGGCGGGCGGAAAAGAGACCACAGCCACGTCCCACGTTGTCACCACAGAAAGCGTCTCAATGGCCGCAGTAAGCAGGTGGCTCTGCGGAGCCAGGCCGACTTCCCCGGGGGCCCTAAGTGGTGGCGTCTGATTGAGGCCTGGGTGCTGGGGGAGAGAGAGCAGCCCTGAGCTTGCGGGGGAGTTGGGAATGCTGGTCCATTGGGGACAAGGACGGAAGGACACTGTCCCGGTCCCTGAAGGTTCCAGCAGATGAAGGGAGAGGCCTGCAGACCCGCCCAGAGGCAGGCAGCAGTCTGTCCTGCTTGTGCTTGTGCCAGTGCTCCAGTGTAATGTTGTTCCTCCAGGATCACTGCGCCAAGCCTGGGAAGGGGACGGGCCCCGCGGCCGAATTCCGCTCCG